CTGTGTACACACGAGGAATACAGGTATCCTCTCTCAGTTACTGTGTACACACGAGGAATACAGGTATCCTCTCTCAGTTACTTACTGTGTACACACGAGGAATACAGGTATCCTCTCTCAGTTACTGTGTACACACGAGGAATACAGGTATCCTCTCTCAGTTACTGTGTACACACGAGGAATACAGGTATCCTCTCTCAGTTACTGTGTACACACGAGGAATACAGGTATCCTCTCTCAGTTACTGTGTACACACGAGGAATACAGGTATCCTCTCTCAGTTACTGTGTACACACGAGGAATACAGGTATCCTCTCTCAGTTACTGTGTACACACGAGGAATACAGGTATCCTCTCTCAGTTACTGTGTACACACGAGGAATACAGGTATCCTCTCTGACTTACTGTGTACACACGAGGAATACAGGTATCCTCTCTCAGTTACTGTGTACACACGAGGAATACAGGTATCCTCTCTCAGTTACTGTGTACACACGAGGAATACAGGTATCCTCTCTCAGTTACTGTGTACACACGAGGAATACAGGTATCCTCTCTGACTTACTGTGTACACACGAGGAATACAGGTATCCTCTCTCAGTTACTGTGTACACACGAGGAATACAGGTATCCTCTCTCAGTTACTGTGTACACACGAGGAATACAGGTATCCTCTCTCACTTACTGTGTACACACGAGAAATACAGGTATCTTCTCTAACTTACTGTGTATACAGGAGGAATACAGGTATCCTTTCTCAGTTACTGTGTACACACGAGGAATACAGGTATCCTCTCTCAGTTACTGTGTACACACGAGGAATACAGGTATCCTCTCTGACTTACTGTGTACACACGAGGAATACAGGTATCCTCTCTCAGTTACTGTGTACACACGAGGAATACAGGTATCCTCTCTCAGTTACTGTGTACACACGAGGAATACAGGTATCCTCTCTGAGTTACTGTGTACACACGAGGAATACAGGTATCCTCTCTCAGTTACTGTGTACACACGAGGAATACAGGTATCCTCTCTCAGTTACTGTGTACACACGAGGAATACAGGTATCCTCTCTCAGTTACTGTGTACACACGAGGAATACAGGTATCCTCTCAGTTACTGTGTACACACGAGGAATATAGGTATCCTCCCTCAGTTACTGTGTACACACGAGGAATACATGTATCCTCTCTCAGTTACTGTGTACACACGAGGAATACAGGTATCCTCTCAGTTACTGTGTACACACGAGGAATACAGGTATCCTCTCTCAGTTACTGTGTACACACGAGGAATACAGGTATCCTCTCTCTCAGTTACTGTGTACACACGAGGAATACATGTATCCTCTCTCAGTTACTGTGTACACACGAGGAATACAGGTATCCTCTCTCAGTTACTGTGTACACACGAGGAATACAGGTATCCTCTCTCAGTTACTGTGTACACACGAGGAATACAGGTATCCTCTCTCAGTTACTGTGTACACACGAGGAATACAGGTATCCTCTTTCAGTTACTGTGTACACACGAGGAATACAGGTATCCTCTCTCAGTTACTGTGTACACACGAGGAATACAGGTATCCTCTCTCAGTTACTGTGTATACACGAGGAATACAGGTATCCTCTCTCAGTTACTGTGTACACACGAGGAATACAGGTATCCTCTCTCAGTTACTGTGTACACACGAGGAATACAGGTATCCTCTCTCAGTTACTATGTACACACGAGGAATACAGGTATCCTCTCTCAGTTACTGTGTACACACGAGGAATACAGGTATCCTCTCTCAGTTATTGTGTATACACGAGGAATACAGGTATCCTCTCTCAGCTACCGTGTATATACGAGTAATACAGGTAACCTCCCAGTTACTGTGTACACACGAGGAATACTGGTATCCTCTCTCAGTTACTGTGTATACACGAGGAATACAGGTATCCTCTCTCAGTTACTGTGTACACACGAGGAATACAGGTATCTCTCAGTTACTGTGTACACACGAGGAATACAGGTATCCTCTCTCAGTTACTGTGTACACACGAGGAATACAGGTATCCTCTCTCAGTTACTGTGTACACACGAGGAATACAGGTATCCTCTCTCAGTTACTGTGTACACACGAGGAATACAGGTATCCTCTCTCAGTTACTGTGTACACTCGAGGAATACAGGTATCCTCTCTCAGTTACTGTGTACACACGAGGAATACAGGTATCCTCTCTCAGTTACTGTGTACACACGAGGAATACATATATCCTCTCTCAGTTACTGTGTACACACGAGGAATACAGGTATCCTCTCTCAGTTACTGTGTACACACGAGGAATACAGGTATCCTCTCAGTTACTGTGTACACACGAGGAATATAGGTATCCGCTCTCAGTTACTGTGTACACACAAGGAATACAGGTATCCTCTCAGTTACTGTGTACACACGAGGAATACAGGTATCCTCTCTCAGTTACTGTGTACACACGAGGAATACAGGTATCCTCTCTCAGTTACTGTGTACACACGAGGAATACAGGTATCCTCTCTCAGTTACTGTGTACACACGAGGAATACAGGTATCCTCTCTCAGTTACTGTGTACACACGAGGAATACAGGTATCCTCTCTCAGTTACTGTGTACACACGAGGAATACAGGTATCCTCTCTCAGTTACTGTGTACACACGAGGAATACAGGTATCCTCTCTCAGTTACTGTGTACACACGAGGAATACAGGTATCCTCCCTCAGTTACTGTGTACACACGAGGAATACAGGTATCCTCTCTCAGTTACTGTGTACACACGAGGAATACAGGTATCCTCTCTCAGTTACTGTGTACACACGAGGAATACAGGTATTCTCTCTCAGTTACTGTGTACACACGAGGAATACAGGTATCATCTCTCAGTTACTGTGTACACACGAGGAATACAGGTATCATCTCTCAGTCACTGTGTCAACACGAGGAATACAGGTATCATCTCTCAGTCACTGTGTAAGCACGAGGAATATAGGTATCCTCTCTCAGTTACTGTGTACACACGAGGAATACAGGTATCCACTCTCAGTTACTGTGTACACACGAGGAATACAGGAATCCTCTCTCAGTTAGTGTGTACACACGAGGAATACAGGTATCCTCTCTCAGTTACTGTGTACACACGAGGAATACAGGTATCCTCTCTCAGTTACTGTGTACACACGAGGAATACAGGTATCCTCTTTGACTTACTGTGTACACACGAGAAATACAGGTATCTTCTCTAACTTACTGTGTATACACGAGGAATACAGGTATCCTCTCTCAGTTACTGTGTACACACGAGGAATACAGGTATCCTCTCTGACCTTCTATGCATACACGATCTAATTGCATTTTGATATGTAAAATAAAGCACATGAAATCATGAAAAATAATAAAAACGTTTGAAAGTGATCATTAAAGCCAATCTCTGCCTTATTTTTCAAAATTTTTAGGCAATATGATATCAATGCTTTACCGTGTGTGACATCATTACATCTGTGTGGTATTGCTATAGGTATAATGTCAGTAGTTATGATGAATACACGTGTGTGCTATTGTTAAAGGTATATTATCAGTAGTTATGATGAATACACGTGTGTGGTATTGTTATATGTATATTATCAGTAGTTATGATGGATACACGTGTGTGTTATTGTTAAAGGATGTTTAATGTAACATATTTAGATATTGTTCATATCATACGATATATTTGTGATAATAAATGCATTATTTATAATTTTACAAAATTTTGATGTTCATTGTTCTTGAAAAGATTTCAAGAACGTATTAGTTCGACAAATGAGCTGGTCTGTAGAATCACGAGGTCGCCATTTCGGTTCATTGTGCAGTATAGTATCTTCCTTGGTGATAAATATTTCACAGAAGTCTGTATCAATGATTGAATATTTTAAAGCATTTCAGGACCATTGGTCAGTATGTGGTCGACACTCCTGACATAAATAGTATAACTTTCTTATCTGAATTGATTGATAAGCATGACGGAGTTGTTTGCCGGAAGTGGCAGCAGCTGTAAAGTAAACTGGAGTTGTCTTCCCTTTATCTTATGTTTTTCCTGTACTGCAAACTGTCTGAATTATTGTGTGTCCTTTTGTTTATTATATTTGATTGGTATAGAATAAATGTAAACCTGGACATGGAGCAAAATTGATCGAAAGAAATTAGATTTGTTTTATACTTAATTCGTATAACTGGATTGTTGATTGTATGAACGTGAAGATGGAGGCGGGCCCATGTTTTTATTTCATTGTATCGTAGTGTATTTCGGTATCGGTTAGTTTACAGTATACTGTTACAATACAATCGTAAGACTTAAAATTAATTCACCCTAATTAATTTCGGTCAAGTATAAATCTGTCTTTTGTGACAAAAGCTATCCTGGGTGTTGGGGATGTGACACTTGTAACGAATGGGTGATTATAATTTTAGGTAACATCAGTCACATTTAGTCACACTGTGTCGCACTGTGTCACACTTATTCAAAGTTCAATTATTGTCGTTGTGGAAAAGAGTTTCGCCTCATTTGATGATAATTTCGGTGGTTTCTGACTAATGTCATTTGGCATGATTAAAATGAAGGATATAATACTTGTTTTCTGATCCATGTTCTACTCTTTACTTATAAGTAGACTTCAGGATTGTAATAGAAATATATGATTATTTTGAATGATATGAAGGCGGTGTGGAATAAATTTGGAGAAAAAACATTCGCCCGATTTTCTTTGTCCCTTTTTACAGCTTCACGAGCTTGTTTGCATCAAACTCCGACGAAACATTATATATTCATTATCATTAGTTATAATTGTATGTGAACATATGCGGCGGTGATTCTTTAATTCTGATTAAGAAACATGACTTTGATACATTTCAGAGACATTGATAAAGACATGAATACATAGTCCTATGACAGAATGTGATGCTGGTTTATACCAGCTCTCAAACATCGTGAAACCTGTCTACACAAGGAGTGGTCTTCTCCTCAACGGTAAAAATCTCAAAACATCTCCTCGTGTTCTTGTATCAGTATGAGCGGTTAGGAACTTTGTACCAAGGTAAAGTGGCCATTTTGGTCGCGCACGGCTTGAAGAACCCCGACCACCTACATCTGTGTAGACTCCTGGCCTTGCTTTCGACTTGCATAGATAAGTGGTTTTATCGCATTCCAAATGCTTGCTTCTACCACAAACAGGACACTTTGGCGATTCTTGGTAACGAGTTAGACTCTCAATGAAATCGCCGTACCCTTCAATGTTACGGATATCACCAAACGGAATCATATTAGCTTTGCGCTTCTGTAATTTTGGTCCCTTATTGGGATAATCCTTGGCAGGATTTATCTTCCCGGTTTTTCGCATTTTATTTCTAAAAAGCTGCCAAAAATAATCAACGAAGCTGTGATGAAGGAAAAAGACAGGGTCCTGGGGCGCTGTTTCTATGGAAGAAAGTTGTCCATCCACCCAGTTGTGGGGGCCGCCATGAATCCGTTCTAACGATACATCATCTCCCTTCAAAGGCTCCACAATGGGTTCGTGTTTCTTATGACGTAATATGTTATTAACCATGGATTCACTAATGAGACTGCCGCTACTTCCGATGTTCCGAACAATTGAAATATTGTCCGCCGTTATCCACTCCGCGAATGGTCCCGAGTCCACGACTCCGAATCCGGGACCGAAAAACTCATCAGTCCAGAGCATGGAATCCGTGGGTTGTTTCATGTTGTAGTCCAATCGACTGTCCCAATAGGGTATGGGAACTCCAAGGGCTGCCTCCATTCTGAAAATACCAGTAAAGGGACAACAGTGTGAAATCCTTAACTTATCGATAGTATTGTACAAAAAGTTAGCCCCTCAGCTGTTTAATTCATTGTTTGGCTCTACTGTATCTAACTCTTTGTATTAAAAGAGGTTTTTCATTTGTGTGCCTTTTGTACTCTTTTCCTATATTTTCTACATTGATATAATATAACTTCGATCTTGCCTAAGGCATTGTGTTCCGTTAATATTCAAACACGACAACATACTTACATAAGGAGATATATTCTATGCCAGCCGAGGAAGTTAGGACCGCCATGTGCTGCACGCAGGTTAGGGTTGTCTCTGTGAAGATCGGATAATATATCATATGGGATGAAGGAACCTCCATTTGAAAGTCTCTGTAAGAAAATACGAAAATACATTGATTAAGGAAATTTACATAAGGTTTTATGATAATCTCTAAAGGAACAATTCTTTGAAATTTTAATTTTGAAACCTACCTACTGATTATTAAATATCAATAATTTACGAAAATTTGAATTTGAATTTTTGAATATAGGAGAACCTACATTCGGATTGTATAAATTCATTGTCATTTCAAAATTTTTAAATGGACGAATTGAATTAAAATTAGCATTTAAAAAAAAAAATTAAACCCAATATAACTAGGTAGTCTTCATGTACGTCACATTTGTCGATATGACCTTTGTTCTTATCGATATTTTAGCACAGAAAGTAATAATTAGATGGAGGAAGCGGGATATTCTGTCTAGTTATTTTGTCAGACGTGAAGCATCCTATGTTTCGATTGTTATTTACACATGTATATTAATTACTTGTAATACACTTGTGAGAACCACACCAACGCGTCACCGACTGCACGCTTTACATAGATTCCCTCTACGTGACCCGGATGTTGAGAATTCCGAGAAAAGCTATATTTGTAAACGGCTTCCCTGTGAGAACGCAAGTCCTCAAGTATAGAGACATTATTACTAAGGACACTCCCTGAACTAAGCTGGTTTCAAAACCGAAAAAGGCTACATTCACATTTTGTTTTTGTAAAAATTATATGATTTGGAAAGAATACAAATTTGAACGACGATAATCTTTGATATGACAACAATGTTTCTCTATCGAATTATCCAGTTACATAAACAACAACAACGGAGGCATTGTGACGGAGATATTACATAAATTATTTTCAAAACTATGTATCATGGACTAAAAAACCCCCAATAGATATATATGCACCTGTAATTATTTTTAATCGGACATTAACAATGAATCCACACAGTTTTGAGAAAATAAAATAAAATATTTACGCCTGTCTGCCACTATACCGGTGTATGGGGTTTCCATAAGGCGTCAGATATAGAAAAGTTACAAGTACATTTTTGTAAGAGAATCTTAGGGTTAAGAAAAGTACACTAAACGTAATGAAATATCAAGAATTGGGCAGGTTACCTTTAAGTATAATTCGAAAATTTAGAATTTTTAAATATTGGATTAAACTAAGAAATTCAGAAAATTGTATTCTTAAGTCTTGTTATTAAGAAATGCTTGATAGGGGGAGTGAATGGACAAATAGTGTAAAGGACGAGTTATCTAAAATGGGTTTAGGATATTTGTGGGACAGTAAATAAATTTATCAGTGGTAAATTTTGTCTTAAACAGTATTTAACAAAATCTATTGGTTCACAAAATATCAAAGAAATTGCAAAAATTAGATTATCATCGCACAAATTGTAGATTGAAACCGGTAGATAAAATAACGTTGAAAGAATTGATAGAGGTTGCAACTTTTGTACGAGTGGCGATATTGAAGATGAGTATCACTTTATTTTAAAATGAGAACACCATGAAGATATAAGGAAACGTTTTATTAAAAAGTATTACTATATGAAACCAAGTATGGCAAAATTTATACAACTTTTGGACACAGAAAATACTAAAGATCTGTCGAATTTAGGAAAGTTTATAAGTATTAGTAACAAACGGAGAATAAATACTGTTTAAGACATTAATTTAATTTATATGTGTAGAGTTAGATATATGGACTTATTCTCTACACTTTGATCCTGTGTACGTGGTCTGTGTGTGCTATGTATTTCCTATGTTTGTTGTTGTGTTTGTACTTGCACTGTAAATACATGCACTGTACTGACAAACCGTAAGGTTTAAAGTAAATAAACTGAACTGAACTGAACCTGAGTGACACGTACAGGTAACACGTGGTATGGATTCACCTATTGGCGACACGTGACATAGCGAAAATTCCAACCAAACCCCAACTGGTAAAACGGTTGACTTTATTTTGAAATTATATTTATCAGCTAGCTTAATTGAAAATAAAATCTGTTTAGTTTTCTTTCGCTATTTTTTTTAATATCTCATACGTATACAATATGGAATACTGCAGTAGATAATGGATGACTTACGACAGATCTCCTTAGAATACCAGTTTTCTAAGGAGATTTCAAACTTATCCATGATTTCTCATTAAGGTATTGCGTCCATAAATCTTTGGTGACTAACAAAATTATCAGTCTACTCTCATATATCTTTGTACATAAATATCACGCGACATACAATCGACGTGTTTGGGATCTTGAGTCCATAAATATTATGAACCTTTGATGAGGTTGATAAAGACTTATATCAACCTCTTTTTTTAATTATTGAACGAGGTCTATGTTTTAACAAGTCGATATAACCCTCTACCGAAATAAAAGGTCCTTAACTTTTATATGTCACATGTATCAGTAATTTGGTTATTGTCTTTCATATATCTATGAAATAATTATCGATAAATGTATTTTTTATATAACAGAGTACAAAAAATTTAAATATTTGACATTTACAATAAAAACGTTATATTCTAAGACCTTATTCCGGAGTTAATATGGTCAAGCTGCTCTAAATGCTAAAATATGAGTTTATATGATCCGGCTGTTCTAAATTTAGAAACATTGAGTTAATATGTTATTTATCGATCTGAACGTGACGATCTTTTATCCAGACAGTTCAAGGAGAAATCTGAACATGTTATATTGGATGATAACAATCGGTCTCTTGAAAATTTATCATTTATGAATATTATATCGGATGTTAAACGATCGGTTTCGAAAGAATATTGGGAAAGTGCACCTCCCAATCTAGATTTTGACTTTTCTTTTCATCACTTTGGATTTTCCTTAGTCGCCTTTTAAGTTTAAAATTGAGGTCCTTAGCATTGCTGACAAGTCCTAGAAGGACGAATCAGTTGTATGATAAAGCATTACTGACGAGTCCTAGAAGGACGAAACAGTTGTATGATAAAGCATTACTGACGAGTCCTAGAAGGACGAAACAGTTGTATGATAAAGCACCACAGACGAGTCCTAGAAGGACGAAATAGCTGTATGATGTAGCACCACAGACGAGTCCTAGAAGGACGAAATAGCTGTATGATGTAGCACCACAGACGAGTCCTAGAAGGACGAAATAGCTGTATGATGTAGCACCACAGACGAGTCCTAGAAGGACGAAACAGCTGTATGATGTAGCACCATAGACGAGTCCTAGAAGGACGAAATAGCTGTATGATGTAGCACCACAGACGAGTCCTAGAAGGACGAAACAGCTGTATGATGTAGCACCACAGACGAGTCCTAGAAGGACGAAATAGCTGTATGATGTAGTATAAATAATCATTTGGCTCTTCTATGTCTTATCTAAATTTGTATGAAAATGTGCTATCCACTTGTGTCTTTTGTATAACCGTCTGTTGATATTGGATGACGTACGACCAGCCCCTTTAAAATATTTAGTTTATAAATAATGGCAACTAAGGGATATTGAGGATGGCATATGATCGACCCTTTAAAACATCGAGTGTACAAACATCGGAGGATATAAGATCGGTCTCTTCAGAATATTGAGTTAATAAAAATTGAAAGACTTACGATCGGTCTCTTCAGAATATTGAGTCGGTTGGTAAATCGTTTCCACTCGGAATTTGACATCATTCGAACTTCTTTTCGTTCCCAACTACATTTGTGTTTTCTTGCTGTCTTCCTTTCAGATGGAAGAATGATCTTTCTCCTTTTTTGTCGGTTTCTGTATACATTTTCTTTGTGGCACTTCTTCTTCTTGCATTTGTCCTGTATGGACTTGGGTGATTTGTTTCCGGGACGATAGTCCCCACACCTAGACAAGGCTAGATCCAAGAGAGCCCGAACGTACGCAGGGCCTGGTTTATCAGAGGACGAGCTTAAGGCAGACAGATACAGATTCTGCTGCATGCAATACACACTGTTGTCATCTCTGGTAATTTGGTATTGACCATCACGATCACGATATCGTCTGCAATTTATTGGGCGTTTCTGTCCCGTAACCTTGGTGACGACGAACAACAGACTTCCAGCTATGAAGATTAGTGCCAAACTCGTGGCGCTCTGAATCATATGAAATGTACATAACGCATTCATTGTAAAGACGCTAAACACATGACAATACTTGAACGTATGAATGAATATGATCAATAAAAATAAACTTATAAACATCGTGTAATATTAAACATAGAATACCCTACCTAATCCTTCCTAAAGGATATTGTTGATAAGATGATTTTAAATTCATTGATAATTGCCTATATATGTCACACATTCTGTGTCCGATCCCCACCTCACCTTCTCATCCCGACCACCTACTTTTCCTGTATTCCTTTATTTCAACCTGCCCTTGTCATAACAAATTCTATTGTTATCGTGTGATTTATTTATAACTTTTCTCATATATTCAATAAGAAGAGAACAGTGAGATGAAACGACTGGTGTGAATCCTTTTGTTTATGATTGATAAAATAATTCTGAAATGACATGAAATCAAGGACAGGTTAGAGACCATTTCGAGTTGTAAGGAATGTAGTTGGATATCACTTTTCTTTGACAGCGATTGTTCTACAATAAACAGGGAAAAACATCTAACACATACCTGTTATTGAAGAAACTAGTCAAGGAATTTGAGTGTGCTGATATATATATATATATATACATTTTTTAAAGATTAACCGCATCGTGGAAAAAAATTTCAAAATATACCTTCAAATATTTTTGAAAATTCGAAGCACAGAAACATGCTATATATCTTCCGAGATTACAGCATGTCTCATTAAAACAGAAGTAATAAAATGTATGTTAGTAACTCGTTATTTGATATAAGGTTAAAATGAAATGGATAAAAGTCTTCAAATAGAATCAACAATCGTTTGGAGCTCTCAGACATCTGTTATCCCTTACCTTCATGACTAGGTTGGTAGAACAACTGTATATGTGGAGGTTCGTCGGATCTTCGGGCTTTTAAAGTTAGCCGACTAACCGCGAAAAGTATTTTTTTTTTTTTTTTTATGTCGCGGAAGTATTGTTTTAAGGATTGATTATCCTTAATGCAGTTTTAGACAGTTTGGTAAAGCCGTGTTATCTTATAGGAATAACTTATCTCCTTTTTTTACCTTCAACTGGCTCCTGAAGGTCGTCGGCAGTCTTCATTATATGTTATTGTTTAAATATCATACGATGACAACCGGTGAGGACGACTGTACTAATATATTCAGTTTTTAGAAAAAAAACCAAAAAAACAGCTCGAAATTTCAGATTTTAAACAGTATGAAAGCAGGAGTGTTGACAAAATAATCCAATACATTTATAATCTGCCCCTGGAAATACCAGAATGCGGTGATGGATGTAAGGTAAATGACATTTAATTAATAACTATTTAGCACAGGCTTAACATCCGGAAATTCTGTCCCAATTCGGACCTTTATTACACGAGTGTGGTTTTGTAACTTTTTCTGATGTCTTTGGGCGGCACTTTCCTCTTCGTTGGGAGTTTGGCATGTCAATCATTGCATTATTTAATAATTTCATATTTCTGTTTAATTATTTTTCCGGGTTTGATTATTTCATTTATATTCTTTATTTCACAATTTTATTTTTTATATTAACGGATTATTTGAATTTATGAATTTATGCATTTTTTTTCGTTTATGTTCTATAACTCAAAGGATGGGTACCAAGTATGACCCTTTGGTGACTATCACAGATATTTTTTCAGGCTAAATGTGACGCCGTTACGAATTCAGTCTGTTATCACAGCCTTTGGAATTAGATGTTACTACCAACCCTAGTTTTTTTTTCTATAAATACCTTGGGATAAGGCCTTCATGAAATGACATGAAATTAAGGTCAGGTTAGAGATCATTTCGAGTTTTAAGGAGTACAACAGGGTATTACTTTTCTTTGACAATTTCAAGGACAACTACTTTGGTTCACTTCAATACTGAAATGTCAGCATGGTGTGATGATTACGTTTTACTATTTAAGATGAACTGTTTTATCTCACCATTGAGATTATATTATTCATGATCTTACATGGTACAGATATATCACTCTCTACCGCAGTAAATGTACATATACAGTTAAATACCGTAACATATAAAAAAAACTATTTGTCATTCAGACGGAGTTACTGCCCCTGAAAATCGGACACGCCCCCTAAATATTACGAAACCTACAGAAATTTCCACTTTAAATCGATTTATTTATCCTAAGACATATGATACAATCTATTTCGTCTCACAATGCGTTAACAAGTTATTTATTTAGAACGATAAATCTGTAATGCGAAAATGGTCAAAGGCGCGGATATTTTTCATATGTTATATGTTCCATTGTACTAGTATGGCCATTTTCAGGCAAAAAGAAAAATATATAAAAAATGTATATCTCTTCTCACCCCAAAATTTTTAGATTTCTTTTTGATTAATTAGATATAACCACCGTAGATATGTCCTTGTCATTTTTAGATATTGATGTGGCATTGTAAAACATGGTTGACCATTTTGTAAATTCTTCAATCCCAAAATATCACCGTTCCTAGGGAGGGAGTGGAAACTTTGTCAATATGGCTATAAACCAAATTTGAGGTGAGTTGAACGAATCATAAAGATTTTGCAGTCATTCCCAAAATCATCAGGTTAGCAAAACATATTAAAAATAAACTTAACGTTCACCTAGTCTATCTGGCGGAACTACATTACTGGTTTCATTGGAATAACACGTGTGCGAGAATCTGAGTTTAACATTAAAATTTATAATCCTCAATGCATGTGTGCTTTGAAGTGTCGTTAGCACGTACACGTGATGATAGCTTTTCAGTTCAATATTCTTGTAAATAAGGGCAACTTGGCAAATTCAGAAGGTGCGCGCGCCGGGTGCGCCCCTCTCACTTGGTCTACGTCAGCATCCGTAAGTCTGAGTTACTTTACTGTGAAACATGTAAAATATTTTTTGAATAATGATGTGTTGAGATGTCCGCTACAGAACCTTGCTGTGTATCAAGTTTGGTTAAAGTAGGACCTAACATTGTGAGAAAAGGATTTAAACGTAAAACTTTTTTGGGTAATGTTGACGACGCCGAGGATGACGCCGAAAAGTAACTACTAAGTCTCGCTTTCAGTGCAGACGAGACAAAACTTGATCTACCACCTGTATAAACTTTCCATCAAGTTTCCACAGCTCGTTTGGTAACAATCGTTAGGTACCTTAACAATCAGAAAGAAAATGAGAAATTATTGACGGTCAAATTCTATGACATATTTGAAACTTCATGTATATTTAACACCTTATGTTATGAAAATATGCATTTGATTATTTGATCATTGACCGAACAGTATGTGGTCAATTGTCACTAGATTTGATGTAGAAAAAGGATGTACACAGTGATTGTAGGCATGACTTGTTGTAACCGTGTATGGGGTTTAAATATTTATTACTATTCTCATTTTCGGTAAACTTCTATCCAGGTTTTGTCTTAATGACAGTCAGTTTTGGCTTTCGCCCGGATGCTGGATGAAAAAATGACGTTGACTGTCAGCCGGAACTCTTTACATGTTCAGGCGTGGTTTCAATATATCAAGTTGTCAGTTGTTTTTGATAAACTATCCTCCCTTAATGTAAATATAGAAACAAACATGCAGCTATTTCGTCCGTCGGCGTCAAAGGTTATGAATTATATTATCCTGTAATTGCACACCGTCTTTGCTCCAGGGGCAACAATCACTTTCGCTCACTGCACACCTGGAACATGTTTTGACGAAATTGGAGGTTCTGAGTGCGACACCCCGTAGGCAAGACTAAAAGACTAGTTTGATCCTTTGATGTACATCAAACGAATCTAGAGGTCGCATATTGTAATGACTTTGAGGTTGGATGACGCTCCTTTGTAATCTTCAAAAGGAGCGTACCAGCCTGTGATTGGTCAGTTGTTTTTCTCCTGGGACCAATCAAATTTTTTCGCTTGTGCCTTCAACTTTGCCATGACATATTCCAGGTGTGCAAAGAGCGAAAGTGATCGTAACCCCAGCTGGAGTATCGAGGATGGCAATTGTACTGCCATTGTCAAAATACATCTACCACATATATTTTCGCTTATGTTAAAGAGCACTGACTATGGATTCGCTATTATTTATACCAATTTCTTTGTTATATTGTTCATAATATCAACAAAAAAATCAAGTATTTACAATACAAACAAGAAGTAAAACAAACAAAACACTCCTATAAATTTCGTCAAATGACACAGAAATTTCCGCACATAACAGTTATGTAACTTGATCCACAGTCTCGGGCTGTAACATCTAATTTTCGGCTTCGCTTCGAATGAGATTTTGTTACAGAATGTCAGCCCGCGAATGAGACAAATTGATTTGAAATACATAAAGGTTGCAGTTTCTTTTAAAGATTCTAATAATACCGTCGTCACTCCGCCTCCATGTTTTACCTCGTTGTCATATCACCTCCCTAAGTCATCACGTCGTCACCTAGCCTCCCTAAGTCATCACGTCGTCACCTAGCCTCCCTAATTCATCACGATGTCACCTAGCCTCCCTAATTCACCACGTCGTCACCTAGCCTCCTTAATTCATCACGTCGTCACCTAGCCTCCCTAATTCATCACGTCGTCACCTAGCCTCCCTAATTCATTACGTCGTCACCTAGCCTCCCTAATTCACCACGTCGTCACCTAGCCTCCCTAATTCATTACGTCGTCACCTAGCCTCCTTAATTCGACACGTCGTCCCCTAGCCTCCCTAATTCATCACGTCGTCACCTAGCCTCCTTAATTAATTGCGTCGCCAGCTCGCCTCCCTATTTCATCACGTCGCCAGCTCGCCTCCTTAATTCACTATGTCGTCACCAAGCCTCCCTAATTCATCACGTTGTCATCTCGCCTCCCTAATTCATCACGTCGTCACCTAGCCTCCCTAATTCATCACGTTGTCATCCCGCTTTTATAATTCATTACGTCGTCACCTAGCCTTCCTAATTCATCACGTCGTCACAAAGCCTCCGCCATTCACTTGAATCAAAGCCAAATTGAAAACACAATTACAGAGAAAGTATAACTTATATATTCCACGAACAATACA